CAAAAGGGGTTCAAGCTTTGATCCTAACAATAAAATCATATGGCATTTTGGGCCATAAAGATAACAACTCTTAACAATTGCTAAGTATATTTCATTCAAAAATTAAAAATTCTTGAGTTTTTTGACATTTTTTTGTGACGTCAGCGATTGGTCAATATTCAGGTGATTGTATTTGACCATATTACCCACAATTCTCCCTCACTTTTACTTTTCAAGCATTTCCCTGAACTCAATATTGTGCTTCCCGGACTCCCAATTAGAGACGAACCCTCATTTTAATTTATAATAAAGATACACAATGACATTTTATATTATTACTTCATTCAGACTTGTTACACGAAAATACTAATGCAGTCTCTGGATGCTGCCAAAAAACAAAAAAACTCTAGAAATTTTGAATGAAATAATATTAGCAATTGTACAAATGGTTATTCTCAGTCACAATTTTAATTTTACACTTTAAGGTAAGAAATGGTAGATTGAAATCAACCTCCACCAATTCGTTACCAATCCTAGTATGTAAATCTCCAATCCAACACTATCTTCACACTCATGAAAAAGTATGCAAGATGACTAGTACCATGGGGGTATCTTCCTACCAAAATGAATATTTGTATTTTGTTTTCTAGGTCCTTTCCCTCACATCTTTAACAAAATGAGTACTGGTAGTTCAAATGAAACTTCATTGACATGCAATGCAAAGCACTTCAAGCATTCCAATTTACCAATCAGCTGTGTTGTTCATTGATTTTTTTGGTACATACAGATAGTGTGAATACATGTACATGTATATATCAGCATTTCTGGTGGTAGGAGTTTTGCCAATGCTTATTTCATTTTGCGACACACTACAAATAAAGTATAAAAAATGCATAATTTAGAAAGTGATAATAGCTGTTGGTAAGTACTGTTACAGAGGAAAAGAAAGACACAATGTAGCCATGAGAGAATAAGTAGGCTGACTGGTGGCCATTTTGTTCCAAAAAAAGCATTTCCAGATTCATATCCGACATGCCTCAATCAAACAAGATCAAACATCTCAGTCAAATACATGTGCATTGTTGTGGCCATCAAATTAAAAATAGTTGTCTGGCAGTCTTCTCATTAACAAATGCAGTTCCACATATCTCATACATGCCTATTTAAATTTCACACATCAGGTTATACATCTCGCATCTATTCTATAATGTAAACAGGGGCTATGTCATCAACTATGACTTATTCATAGCAGTTACAGCCCTTGGTTATGAAAGCAACCCAGCTCTTTCAGGGAACGAAAATCATCGCTATCCATAGCTTGGCTAAGCTCGTGTAGATGGCTATATCTGAATATTTGTAAAAATATTATACAAATTACTTTCGGTCTCAGTTGAGCAATAATCTGCAATTTGTTTTAATTCGCTTGCCGTGTTATGATGTATCGGTAGCTACGAGGCCAACTCTATGAGCTGAACACAACAGTGAATCAAGAGAAACTGATTCAATCATTTCAAACAAGCTGCAACACCATTGAAATGACATGTCATAACATTGGCACTGTTTGAACCAAATTCCTTAACTTTCTATGTTTCGATTGTCTTATTTGCTAACACCACTAGCAGTGTGTTGAGTACTGTTTCAGCTGTTTCATTGTGGACCACAACATTTCTATAAAACACTACTGTCAGACCATTGTGTTACAATACTTGAAGATACACTATTAACTTATTTACAGTAATACAAATGTATACACTTACATCACAGTCCAATGTATTGGCTATTTATTTATTACTCGATGTCACAGCTTAGAGTCTTGGCTAATATGTTGCCTGCATATGAATGGAATCCAAATGCGTGTATGTGTTTAATTTCTGTAAATCAAGTATGTGGCAATTTTAAATAAAAAAAAAGTAAACAGTAGTCATTACAGCATTCGGTGTCAGCAGTCCGTGGCTTTTGTTATTACTTCCTACTAACTTCAAACTGGTTTCAACGTGTCAGACCAATGTTGAGTGTTTCAAGTCGTCTTCGTGAATGAATTCACTTTGCCCTCTTGCTGACGTATTCTGCTGTAGATTTCATTGAGATTAACAACCAATAGAATTCTTTTAATCAGTTCTATTGAAACTTGTTTTGAACCGGCTATCATTGTCCCTGTAGCATCATCCCCCAAAAGTTGTTGGTGACCATGCATTGTTTGTTTCAGTGATGATTTCATAATCGTTTTTATCTGGCACCAAGCTAGTGTCAGGGTTTTTGGTGCCTGGGACCTTCCACAAAAATTCAATTTTTTTTTAATGTTTAGCCATTTAAAAGAAGTGAAATAATTGTAATAAAACTAATAGCAGTAAATGATTAACAGCAGACATGGCCGCAACAACTTGTCAACTTCAAAAAAGAAACATGAATAAAAACTTTTAAGTTTAAAAATTAATAAATTTGTTGCCCACATAAATTTGTTAAAATCTATTGCACACATTCAATAAGTGCTTTCAACTACTGCATATAGGACACGCTACAATTTTATTGACAACCACTTAGCAGTGGCTCAGACATTGGCATAATACTCCAGTGGTAAATTTGCGGTAAATGTAAATTCTAATAAAAATTCTTGTGTTTGGGACACCATGTTCACTGTCCATCATTTTCAGTGATGCAATTACATAATTCATATCTTGCAATGCAACGACCTATTTTTTATTTGTATGCTTACACTTATTATTTTGCGAAGGTAATCCAGTATGAACACGGGTTATTACGAACAGCTATAAGGTTTTATTGACAGCTATGGGGTTTTACAGACACCTATTGGGTTTTATGGAAAGCTATGGGGGTTTTACGAACAGCTATGGTGTTTTACGGACATCTATGGGATTTTATGGACATCTATGGGATTTTAAGGACATCTATGGGGTTTTATGGACATCTATGGGATTTTATGGACATCTATGGGATATTATGGACATCTATGAGGTTTTACAATCAGCTATTGTGTTTTTCATATAACTATGGTATTTGTGGACAGATATGAGGTTTTACGGGCAATTATAGGATTTTACGGACAGCTACAATGTTTTACAAACAGCTATGATGTTTTACAAACAGCTATTGGGTTTTCACTTACAGCTATTGGGTTTTCACTTACAGCTGTGGAGTTTTACGGACAGTTAGGGGGTTTTACGAATGACTAGGGTTTTACGGACAGATATGTTTTACAAACAGCTATG